CAGAGCTCTCCTGCTATGATGGCTGCTTCTCAATTTGCATCTTTAAAGAGTTGTGACCATCTCTCCACTTCTCCCTTCACCGGATCCTCAGAGCCAGGCCTGGCATCGCTGGGTGAAGAGATGCTGCAGATGAAGGTTGAGCTCCCGTCGTGGACTGAACCGAAACGAGGACGGGGAAGGGATGCTGAAGCCCAGCCAAGGTGAAGAAACAGCTCAGGTGGAGCCAAAATTTTAAAAGGCCGGGATTCAGCATCTCCACGTCACGTTTGCCGGCTGTGTGGTACCCAACTACTTCAGATATCCCCCGGAAAAATAAACTGGGGGTGTTTTATTGCCTGACCTGGCTCAGCCCACCAACCAACCCTGGTTTGGGTTTTACAGTATTTGTGCAAGGTGTGGTTTTATGATTATTTGTATTTTTTATTCCCCTCCAGCCCATCCCTATCTCAACCAGCCGATATCGCCTCCGGAAAACAAAATTCCAAAGCTTGCTGAAGTGCTGAAGGTAAGTCACTTTAAACATCCAGAGCCTCCTTTTTTTATTATTTTTTTTATTTTTCCCTGGAAATGCTTGGGAAGGGATCAGTCAGTCGGATGCTTGCAGTAACTTTGCACAGGAGAGCCTGAAGGAGCAGCAAAAACCAGCCACAGACTTATTATGCCTTGAAATTAAACACTTAAAAGGACTAAGTTGGCAGCAGGGATTTTCTAATCAAAATATATATAACCTGCCATTTATCCAGCATTTGCCCTCTGGAAGGACCCCAAAGTGCTTTTCTGGCTCAACAAGCCATCCTTAACTCCTGCTCAGCTGGTGTGGGGAGGGGAGAAATTCTGTTTTTTCAGGTATTTTCCCACTTGATCCCAGCTGCTTGGTGAGGCAGCAACTGGGAAAAATCCTTTTTTTTTTTGCTTCAACTTTCCTTATTATTGATCCATCAATGCTACACAAGAAATAAACTTAATCTTATTTAATCTCACGTGGGGAAACCTCTGGGAATATAGAGCCATCCTGGCATTGACCACTTATTCTTAATACATCCTCCTTGTGCCTATGGATTATTGGTAAAACCTTTTAATTATATTTTCCCATGTATTTATCTATTAGTAGTTGGGGAATCAGTGTAGTGTTACTTGGTCTAATGTATGTCTGAGACCGTTTAAAATGCACGGTGCCTTCAAAAATAACATCACCTCATTGCCATAATTCTTTTGGGGTTGACTCTCATATTATTCCCAGGAAAACCATGTGCACAGGTAAAAATAAACATTTTACAAGAGGACTTGTCCTGTGGGTATGTAAAGTATCATAAATGGAGGGGAATTGGGTTGAATAAAAATCTTCTATGAGCTAAATAGGTGAAATTTGGAGAATCCCTTAACTTCACCCCAAATTTGGTACAAGCATCATTGGGTTTGGACAGATGGACGTGGATGGTCCCTATGTTGCTTTTTCAGGCTGCCTTGGTTGATGCTGTATTTTTTTCCTCATTTCTTGAAACTCGTGACTGGAGAGGGCCTGCAAAGGCGCGGGAAAATATCCGTGTCCTGAACGTCTCCTAAAAACCCAACGCAAATTTGAATGAGTGATTTGCATTGAGCATCGTCGCCTGATCGCAGCGCGGTGCCCGAGCGGGAGGGACGGAGGGTACCACAGTTTGGAGCAGCATCCTGCCTGCAACGAGTCCTAAATTTCCCTAAGGGATTCCTTTTTAGCATCCTTTAGCTCCTGAGGGGGGTTGGACATCCTCCCTGGAAGGAGGACGTTAAAGGGTCGTGTCTCTCCAACCCGTTGCGGTGCTTAAGCCCGGCTCAGCTGCAGATCTGTGTCCTAAAAACCCCGTCTTGTTTTTAACATCTATCATTGAATAATTTACTCGTTTCTCGCGGAGAATCCCGTCACAGTTTTCACAGAGAAATCCGACACGAGCAATAATGCAATCTTGGAAAGAGAATTGAATTATTTATGGAGGAGCAGTCAAACGACGGAGACTAAACCGCTATATTTTATGTAATTTGTTTCCTCCTGAAGCCTGTTATGTAAAAATGTAAATATTGCTGGTTATATATGTTGCCGCTGTTTAATATTTTAGCAAACGTGCTCCGAGTACTCGTTGCTTTTGGAAAGGAACAGGCTGTGTCCTCTTGAATAAGCACTGATGAGTTTGGGGCAATGATATATTTATGACACTGACTTCAGACATCAAAAAGAAAATCCCCCTGAGGTGCCCATGAGGACCCCCAGAATCTGGGAGATTTTTAGGTGGAGAGGGTTTAATTTTGGGGAGGTTTTCCAGCAATCTGGACTGGGATAGGGATGGAGTAAGGTGTGTGGTGGAGGGTTTTCTAGTTGTGGGGTTTGGACATCCCTTCCAGCTGCAGTCACTTGAGGGTGGTTCAAGGTGGGGAGAAGTACCCTAAATCTGCTCAGTAGGAGTGCTGCTGAACATCCTTGGTCCTGGAGATCTGGAGGATCAGGGCTGGTGGGATGAGATGTGACCAGAAAAAGATCACCCAGGGGTGACCTGTTGCAGCAGAAAGACGCCTTTTTTTTTTTTCTTCTGGGGAAAAACCCACCAGGATTGAGTATGGGAGAATTTTAATTTACCATCAAAAAAAAAAAAATTCCAGCAAGCTCCCATGGCTGGATGATGAAGTAGCCAATCCAACTGGGAAATAAGACACCGTGGGTTTTTTTTAACCTGGGATGATAATTAACCTCTGGAAAAACTCTCCAGGGAAGAAGCAGCTTTTGCATTTGTGAAGGAAAAACCCGGGGCTGGATACTTTTCCTGGAGTTTGAGCATGAGATTCCAAAACCAGTGGAGGAATCTCTTTGGTGATTGGCAATGGAAATTGGGGAAGAGGGATGCTTGAGGAGTGAATGTGGGATATTCAAGGAGCAAATGTGGGATATTCAAGGAGCAAATGTGGAATGCTTGAGGAACGAATTTGGGATGCTTAAGGAGTGAACGTGAGGTGCTCGCTGCTGCTGGCTCCAGAAGAAACATTCCTGCGCCAGGGGAGCCCTAAAATTTTGAGCACTTGGATATTTTTGGCAATGATGCAGCTTAAAATACGCCCCACGTGTGCCTTCTCTCCTTATATCCCTGTTTTCCAAGATGACACACGAGCGAGATGAGAGGTCACGCGCGGATGATCCCGTGGTCCTTTGATACCACAATGACGGGGTTTCCATCTGCTTCCCCTTCACTCTTCCATTCCGATTCTCCAGCTTCTGAAAAAACCCAAAATATTTTCTGCCCAGCATCCCCAGCTGGCTGAGACACCCGGCGACAGCTTTATGGCTCCTCGTCTTCGCTCGCTTCCGTGGAATAGTAATGAGGGAGGGGAAAAACGTCCCGTTGGCTGATTTACAAGGCAAGAAATTCCTATAAATCATTCCAACATCTCCAAGGGATCTTGGATGCTCTGAGTTCCCGCTGGTTGTCCCAGCAATGCCATGCAGAGATGCTTTCTTTTTTTGGGGGGGTTGGTGGGGGGGTGGGGATGCATCCCAGCCATCCGGTGCATCTCTCTGTTATTTTATTGATGGATTCCAAGTGGGAACCATCTATTTTCTGTTGCTCTCCGACGGCCAACCCAGAGGACATCGACGTATGTTAGAGGCTGCTCCCGAGTAGGAAGCACAAAATATTTTCTGGATGGACTTTTCCGGGGGGATAAGCTGGAAAGAGGGATTTAGGAATAGGGATTTGGAAGCGTCCGCTCGTCCTGGGAAACTGAAGAGGAAAAATTAAGGCGTTTTTGGTTCCCTGGACTTAAATTTAAGCTTGTTTTTCCATCTTTCCCATCTCATCCCTGGCCCTACGGCCATTCCTTATGCCCCATTTACTGCTGCTGGCTCGTACATCCCGCTGTAACTCTTTGGAGCCAATTTTAACCCATCCCAAAGGAATTCCAGGGCTGTTTTGAGTGACTCCCTTCCCCACCCAATATTCCCCAGGAAGTGGGCAGAAATTCAGAATTTCTCATTAAACCCGTGTTTGATGGCATTTTTTTATCAGGGAAGGGATGGAAAAATTGGGAGAAACCAGACCGTGGCTGGGCTGAATCTGGAAAAATCTGTCCCTGTGGCTTTTGCCATAAAATGTGGGAAAATTTGCCTGCAGGACCCAGTTCTGCCAGCTCTCCTAGCAAAAATGACTCCAGGGAAACCTGGTCTGCAGGTCTCTGGGAGAGAGGAGGGTGGTTAATGTCTCACACTGACCAAAATTTGGATGGGGGGAGATTGGTCAGAAAGCCTTTTCCCCAAATTAACAACAAATAGTAGATTGCTTCCAAAACAAGAGTGTTTTGCCCGGGGGATAATCCCACAGGAAAGGCTTGGGGTGGGATTTTATGGGGTGCCCTAAATTTTAGGGCTTTGTTGGGGGGGGTTGGAGGGGGTTGGTGACCCCCCCGTGGTCAGCTTGATAGTGGGGGGGGGCACTCGGAGGGAGTCTGCGTGGGGGGGAATCGAGGGCCGCTGGGGTTGGCTCTGAACGTGTCTGGGGGGGCAAAAGCGTTGTGGGGGGAAGTGAGGGGGGGGAATCAGATGCTACTGGGTGGGCAAATGTGTTGGGGGGGGATACGCTTGCGGGGCGCGCGTGGTGTCGGGGGGGAGGCCTGAGCAATACCCCGGGGAGACCGCGGGGCAGGGGGGTCCGAAGGCAGATGGAGGGGGGTTGGTCGGTTTGGGGGTCCCCGGGGAGGGGAGGGGGGGCAGGACTGGTGGGGCGCACAGCGCAGCCAGCAGGGGGCGCTGAGCGGGCCGGGCGAGGAGGCGTGGCTGGAGGCGTGGCCTCAGCGATGGGGCGTGTCGGGGGCGTGGCTTTGGCATTATAGGCCTGGCTTCGGCATTATAGGCGCGGCTTTGGCGTGGTGGGCGTGGTTTAAGCGCGGTAGGTGTGGTCTCGGCGCGGGGGGCGGGGCCCGGCGCGGGGGGCGGGGCCTGACGGGGGCGGGGCGGGGCGTGCGCGGCGGCGGTGGCGGGGCCGGGCGGGCGGGCGGCGAAGCGGCGGCCGCGCTGTCAGGGCCGGTGTCGGTGTGATGAAGATTGGCGGGCAGGTAGGGCTGTCACTCACTCACGGTCACGGGGGAAGCGGAGGGGAAGCGGGGGGGCCCCCGCCGCGCGCGGGGGGACGGGCGGGCGGAGCCGCGGAGCCCGGCGGACAAAGCGGCGCGGGGCGGCGGGGCACGTGCGGCGGCGGCGGCGGGGACACCCCCCCTTCACCCCCCTCTCCCAATAACCCCCCCATCCCCTCCGGTGCGGGAAGTAACTTGCCGTTCCCGCCGCCTCCACGCTGGAGGTGCCGTGGCCGGTGTCCGGTTGCCCCTCCGGGCTGAGCTCCGGCCGCGCCGCTGCGGTTCTCCGCCGCGATCCCCCCCCCGCCTCCCGCGCTGATTTTGGGGGGGTGTGTGCAGCGATTCGGAGGGCAGCGCGCTCCCGTCCTCCCCGGCCGCCGGGCGGTTGCGGCGATGCCGGGGGTTTCCAGGGCTGCAGCCCCCCGATCGCTTACAGAGCTCCCGAGGGCTGCAGCCCCCCCGTAACAAGTTGCAGCCCCCGCTGCCCGGTTGCCGACCCCACACCGGGGGTCGCGGTGCTTTTAGATGGGTTGCAACCGACTGCCCCCCACCCCGGCCGGTTCCAGTGCCCCTCCGGAGGGCTGCAGCCCCCCGAGGTAGCTGCAGTGCCCTCGGACTGACTGCAGACCCCCGAGCGCTTGGATTACCCCCCACCCCCGTGGTTGGTTCCAGCCCCTCCAGGCGGTTGTAGTGCCCCCCCAGGGGGTTTGCAGCCCCCCCCGAGCGGTTGTTACCCCCCACCCCGCGCTGGTTGCAGCCCCCTCGCAGTGGTTGCAGTGGCTGGTCTCAGACTCCCCGGGGGAGGTTTTCCAGCCCCCCCCAGCTCATCGCGTTTGGCAGCTGGGAAGTTGCCCCTCGTGCAGCCGGGATGGGGGGGCAGGGAGGGGGGCGCTTTATCCGCAGCCTCAAAGCTTTGCACAGCACCCAGTTACCTCGGGGTGCCCCCCCAGGGCACCCACCGGGGGCGGGGGGCACCGTGGCCGCCTCTCAGGGCCCCACGCGGGCTCGATGCCAGCGCCGGAGCACGGCCCTGGCCGACGTGCCACAACCCAGCACCTCTCCCTGGATGAACCCCCCCGTGCATCCCCTTTCCCCTGCTGTGCCATCTTCTCCCGGTGCACCTCAGTTCCCCCAGTGCACCCAGTTTTCCCCGGGACGCTTCACGGGACCCCCTGGCTTGTCCCTCCCATCCCGCAGGGTTGGGTGTATACTCCATACTTTTTAGTGGCTCTGCAGCAGGGAGGGCTTTTTGTTAATAATAATGATTATTATTATTATTTTTAATTTATCCTTGAATTTTTTTAGCACATTGCCATCTTGGGAGGGTGGCTCCGCCGGCGGCATCCTGCGACTCGGGGAAGTTTTGCTGAGGGATTGGGGTGTCCCCCCTCACTTCATCCCGATCCTTGCGGGGCGTCGAAGCTCAACTTGGGCTCCGGAGCTCTTTGTTTGGGCTCTTCCCGGTTTTTCTCACTCCCGAGGATCTTTTTTCCCCACTATCTCGCCGCCCGCCGGGTAACGGGAAACCCTAAACCCGGCAGGATATTTTCAAACTCCCAGCCGGGGAGATTAGATTGAGGAAAGGGGGGGGATGGATTATTTTTGGCCGAGATGCAGGGCAGCTGTCTGCTGGGGAGAAGCAGAAAATAGGAGAGGAAATGGCTTAATTTGGCTTTTTTTTTTTTTTTTTTTGACTTGTTTTACCTTTAAATCCTCAAAGATTCTGGGGGTTGGAGAGGGGAGAAGCAGCTCCATGGACCCGGCTCCAGCGAAACTTTCGGGAGTTGCGCCTCCAGAAGTGCTGACTCGGCGTGTTTGGCATCATCCTGTTGCAAGAAATTGGTCATTCTCCCCCCAAAACCTTTGGGGTCTGATGTTTAGAGGCCTATTTCTGGCCTCACATGCATGGGAAGAAGGATTTGGGTGAATTCATTGGATTTTGGGTGATTTGGGGGAAAAAATAACACCGTGTTTTGGGTTTAAGCCGTTTGGAGCAGAAGGATGAGGGGATCAGGATTCCCCCTTATTTCCCCCCCCCTTCTATTTTATTTAACTCCCTGTGCTGAGATCCCTTCGTTAGGGGCAAAAGTTAATTGCTTGAGGCTAATTACGGGAGAGGTTGATAAGGGAGCTGGCGGTGTCAGGAAGGGAAAGAGATACCGCCTTCCTCAGCATCCCAAAATTGGGCTTTTTAAGGCACTTTGCAGCCCTGGCCCCCCAAAACCAGCACTGAGGGGTCCTGTGACCCCCTTCCTTTTAACTGGAGATCTGTCTAGTATTATACATGTATATAGAGGTAAGATTAAACACCCCTGATGGGGTGAGGGGAAAAACAGGGGGAAGAATGATGCTGAGCTGCCCCACTGGGCCTGCAGAAACATATTCCGTTCTCCCTCCATCGTTTTTGGGAGGGGGAAATAAAGGAAATCTCATTTTTTAAGGAAATCTCCCTTGCTTTAAGGAAATTCCCCCTTTATTTTTTTTTTTAAGAGAAATTACCCCTTTTTAAGGGAAATCTCTTTTTTTTTAAAGGAAATCGCCTTTATTTTATGAAAATCTCATCTTTTTCTTAAGGATTTTCTTTTTTAAGGAAATCTCCTTTTTTTGGATTCAATGCACGAAGTTGTGTTGGGAGAAGAGGGTTTTATCCCAGTGGTGCATCAGGAATAACTGCTTTTCCTAACTCAGGGATAAAATGAGTCCCTCACCGGGGCAGCTTTGGATTTCGGATGATTTTGGCTTTTCCTGGTGAACTCCTGAATTACTTCATGTCTTTTTTCCAAGTTGATCGACAGCATCCTTAAGTCTCTGAGCAATAATAGGGCTTTTTTTGTCCTCCCAGAAAACTTAAATATTGGCCTGGTCCTGCTGGGAAGAGCATCCTTCACCCCTCCATCCTCATCCCCAGGGATGCAGGGGTTGGATTGCACCTCTGGGTACCGCCCTCATCCCAGCTGGGTTTGAGATGCCTGCTGGATTCCTGGGATATTTCCTGGAGAAGATTAACCCAGGATGCTGGGACATCCCAGTTTTGCATCATTTGTTTCCCTGGGAGCTGCCCTGGCTTGAAGTCTCCAGTAAAATGAGTCGAGACGTGGGATGGGGCGGCTGAGAAGCCGCTGGGCAGGATGCAAGGAGCAAGGAGCTGAGCTTCCTGGAGTCGGGAGGAAACTTTTGCCACACTTAGGGTTAAATTAACGGAGATTTGACATCCCCAGTGTTGGTGGGAAAGCCGGACCGAGCATCAGTATCATCTTTATTTTAGGCTGAGGGTACCCCCCGATGGATCTCAGTGTCCCATCCCCAATTATTCCCCGTCCTTATTTTACTCCAGCTGCTTTTTTTGGGGTGTTAGAGGGATAATTTACCGGATCCAGACGATCCCCAGTTGCATTTAATATCCCACGCACTGTCGAATGACTTGATTCCCAAATAATTTTCGCCGCCACCGAAGAGGGTGTTAACAAATGCCCTCTAATTAGCCCAAAAAGAAATTAATTCCCAGCGTCGTTAGTCGGATCGTTAAGATGCCGGCTCCAAATAATAATCTGGAGGGATGGGAATTAATCCTCGACTAAATTTAAACTGGGGTTTATCCCTGCCTCCAGCCTTGGAAGGACCGAGGTGATGCTCCACGTAATCCCCATGGGAAAACCAACCCAGTTGGGATGGGATGGAACCATGATCCCAGTGGGATGGAGCCATGATCCCAGTGGGATGGAACCGTGATCCCGGTGGGATGGAGCTCTGATCCCGGTGGGATGGAGCCGTGATCCCGGTGGGATGGAGCCGTGATCCCGGTGGGATGGAGCTCTGATCCCGGTGGGATGGAACCGTGATCCCGGTGGGATGGAACCATGATCCCGGTGGGATGGAGCTCTGATCCCGGTGGGATGGAGCCGTGATCCCGGTGGGATGGAGCTGTGATCCCGGTGGGATGGAGCCGTGATCCCGGTGGGATGGAGCCGTGATCCCGGTGGGATGGAGCCGTGATCCCGGTGGGATGGAGCCGTGATCCCGGTGGGATGGAGCTCTGATCCCGGTGGGATGGAGCCATGATCCCGGTGGGATGGAGCTCTGATCCTGGTGGGATGGAGCCATGACCCTGGTGGGATGGAGCCGTGATCCCGGTGGGATGGAGCCGTGATCCTGGTGGGATGGAGCTCTGATCCCGGTGGGATGGAACCATGATCCCGGTGGGATGGAGCCATGACCCTGGTGGGATGGAGCTGTGATCCCGGTGGGATGGAACCATGATCCTGGTGGGATGGAGCCATGACCCTGGTGGGATGGAGCTCTGATCCCGGTGGGATGGAGCCGTGATCCCGGTGGGATGGAGCCGTGATCCCGGTGGGATGGAACTGTGATCCCGGTGGGATGAGGTGGCCTTTGCCCAGCTGTGATTTGCAGCTGTATAAATAAGATGGGGATTTGGCCTCGGCTCTTCCCGACTGCTTCATTATATCCTATTTTTTTGGCTTTTCCTCTTCCGAATGGGAACACAAACCCTGGGTAGTCCCAACTCCGGTTAATTGGTGTCTGTTAAATAGTTGGGTTGGAAAAGACCTTTAAGACCATCGAGTCCAGCTGCCAAATCCACCACTAAACCACATCCCAAAGCACCACGGCTGCACATTTTTTAAAATTATTATTTATTTATCACTTATTTTAATTTTATTTTTAATTTATTTTGATTTTTAATTTATTTTAATTTTATGGTTTTTATTATTATTATTTTTGCTTTGTTTTTATTTTTAATTCTAGATGAAATCTTTTATTTTTATGTTTGTTTCATTGTTTAATTTTTTTTCCTTCACGTTTATTTTTTCTTTCGTTTTTCTCTGTTTTGTTTTTTCACCTTGCCTTTCAATTTCCCTGCCACTCTTCTCCCACCCACCTCTTCCATCCTCCCTATACCAAGTCTAATCCAGGCAGGAAAATCCCAAATATCCAGACAGCCTCACCACAAGGCCGTAAGACCT